CTAATCTCAGACTGAATCGAGAAAAATGAAAAAAACCCAGCAAACTAGGATCAGACATGCTGGGACTGCGTCTGCAATGCAAGTCACTGGGCCCATCGTTCTGGGGCTGGGGCTGCTGCTGGGCTGTGGTCTGGCCCATCTTTAGCCCTCACATTTAGCTGACCTATTTTTAGTGGCAGAACAGAGTTAGGCCGAGGCTGAGCCCTTGGAAAATCCCACCTTAAGCAAATAAATAATGGCATTTCCACAGCATCTCTGGGAGCTCAAATCCCTGTGCAACCATAGATGAGTTCAGCCTTAAGACACTTTTGCGAAGAACCTCTTTTATATGGAGGAGGGAAGAGAGACAGCAGCATCCAGTGGCTAGAACAATGGACTAAAAGTTAGGAGGGCAGGGTTCTGTCCCTGGCTGCCATTGATTCGCTGCCTGGCTCCAAGCCAGTCACTGACCATTTCTGTGCCTCAATTTCCCCACCTGGAAAGCGGAGATAATATTTTGTAAAAGGCTTTGAGAACCTCAGATAAAAGGGGCTCTCAACGTTATGATATTATTGTTGTTATTATCCTTTTACCCCTCCTTCACTCCTACAGATCTTGGGACCCAGTCCTGCCCTTGCAAAAAAATCCCAAGTTTACCATTGTGCTTGGGAGAAACCCTATGTATCTATTTGTCAATCGGTCCAGGGTTTTATACGACTCTCTGCTCTGATCCTATCCTACAGGCTGGACCTTCAAACACACAAATAACCATCTGTTCAGCAGGAGGTAGGGGGGCGAGAAACAGCTCGGTGGCCTTTGCTGTGGCTTCATTCTGTTTTTAAACGGGCTAAGCAGGGTTTGAGTTCTATTTTCCAATTTTTGGGCGGGTCTTGTTTATTTTTTAGAATCAAATGTCAGGCCTGGGCTGTCTGGCAGTATGCTCTGGGCCATGGGAGAACTGGAAGGGCTATAACATCACAGACATCAAAGGGTCATGCAGGAAGTTGGGGGCGGGGAAGGGGAACAATCTTTGCACATTACACTACAGCAGACAGAGGAGTGGCTGCTGCAGAAGTAGTCACTGCCCCCACCAGCTCTTGAAGGGCATATGGGAGTGTCCGTCCTGCGTAACCTCAAACGGGATCGGAACTGTCACGGGTTTTAATATTCCACTGAGGATCTAAATTTCCATTCCTGCATTACAATCTCTCTCCAGCCTATTACATGTTCAGTTTACCTACACTGTCTCCATCCCTATTAAGGGCACTGCTTTGCCATCCTAGGCCAAGAATGATGTATTAGTCTTTAGTGTTCTGGTAGCACTTAGGAGCCCCAGTCCTGGGCCAGGACCCCAGTGTGCTAGGTGTTGGACAAACACAGACCAAAAATTCAGTCTCTGCCCCAAGAAGCTTCCAATCAAAGCCCACTTCTGTTCCAGCTAAAGTAAATAGGCCTTTTGCCATTGCGTTTGAGCAGAGCAGATGCAGGCTCAGTGTAGGAGAGTGGAATCTCCTTGCTTCTCTCATTTGAATCACTGTAGTGGATTTTTAAAAAAATCTCCAGGACTTGATGAAAATAATAATTTAATATCTGTGATGGCGATGATGCGATCCAGTGGTTGGAAACCAAAGCGAGACAAAATAAAGACTAGAAATAAAGTAACAGGAAGGGTAAAATTAACCCCTGGAACAATTGCCCTATGGATGTGGGGATCAGACTTCACTTGCCGTCTTACATCAAGACTGGCTGTCCTGCTAAAAGCTCCGCTGTAGCTCAACCATAAGCTATGGGCCTGGTGCCGAAATTACTGGGGGAGGATTTCTGGCCTGTGTCATGCTGGAGATCAGGTCAGATGATCATTACAGTCCCTCCTGGCCTTCGAATCTATGAGGCTAAAAAAAAGGGAGGAAATGCCCTTGTTCTGCACAGTCTGCGCCAAAATGCCAATGGGTCCAGTGTGGTTCTGGTTTTCAAATGTGGATAAGAAATAAACAGCAGGGCTGTGCCAAGCTGGGACCAAGCTGTCCCCGGAATCAGCATGTTGGAGTGAAACCATTTTGTCGATGGCAGAGGGCCACCAGAGAGAGAGAGAATTCCACACCCATTTAGTGCTCATATAATAAAAATGAATGGATGGTTTAGAACAGAACAGAATAGAATAGAATAGTTCCTCTTTTCTTTTCTTTCCCCCTTTTTGTTTTAGAAAGCAATACAAACTTTTTAAACTGGGGGGGAGGGGGAAGGCTGAGAAAACGTTTCTTCCTCACCTGGCTGGAAAAATTCATTCTGAGACACAAGATAGTGAGGGTCAAATTCCAGCTTCGAAGGCATTTTTTTTTAAAAGCCCGGGATGGCCAGGTACAAAACAAGTGCTTAACCTGGACATCGTGTTTATGCTTGAAGGGGTTAAGTCACAATGCTTCGAAGAAACACCGGGGCTTACATGAAACCTCTGACTCCCAAGAAAATAAAGGCAGAAAGGAACAAGGCATACAAGGGATGTCGACTTTGTTCTCCAGAATAGCCAATGGCCAGTGTCCTGATTATTGCTAAAGCACACCGGGGTGCCTCATATGAAATGTACAGCCCACTACATATACCATAATATAGGCTGGGGTGTGTTGGGTAAGGTCGGGGCTCCGCGGGAGGTCAGAGTAGATGCTGATGGTCCCTTCCGGCTCTGGCTAGACGCGGTTACATTACATTGTCATTACTACAGACACAGCTTCCACGTGTTTCTGAGGCACCTTGTTTATTTCCTTCTGACAACCGCCCATCGTGGCTTGTTTCCTTCTCCTTCTCGCCCTTTTCCCAGTCTCCGCCGCACTTCCAGCCTTTGATGAGAGGCCAGCCAGACCCACCCACCCTCCGCCCAAGGACTCCGGTCACCCGGGACTCCCATCCCCCCGAGGAGGTTCGGGGAGCAGGGGCTGCTCTCCCACTGAAGCGAATCGGGGGGGGGGGGGTTGTTGCCGCGTTCAGTGTGGAAGGGATCGGGCTCCGTTCGGAGGTTGCCCCCGGGGGTGGAGCGCCCTGGAGCCGGAGCCCAGCTGCGGTTTGCAGGCCAGGGCTGTGTTTGGGATACTCCTCTTCTGGGGGTGAGCTTCCGTGCATGATCCCCTGGCGACCCTAGGGTTCAGGCTGGGGGGCAGGGGCTGAGCGGAGCCGGGGCCTTTCTTGTAATCCACATACACTGCAGAGACTTCAGCCCCGTCCTAGGACTTGACTTGCCCGGCCCCTGGCCAAGCGCACGAAGGGGCGTTGGGCGGTGGCTCTCTGCCCAGGGGAGAGGATGTGGAACTAGGCAGCGGGGCCAGGGGCCCCCTGCTCTGCATTTGATGATTTCCCCATTTAGTCCTGCCTCCCCCCAGTCCCTCCCCCGCCACAAGAGCCAGGCTGGGAAGCTGTTCTGGGAGCTGCCCCAGCAAGAGGAAAGAGATGGGGTGGGGCGGGGGGAGACTGCCAGGCTCGGGGGCTTCAGGGGGAAAGCTTCCGGCACATGGCTGGAGGGTCTGGGCCAGGGGTGACACGGGCAATGGACAGCCCATTCGGGAGAGTGTCCCCGCAGTCCTGGAGGGAGTGAACCGGCTGAGCGCACTGTGTCCAGCAGTGTGCCCGGCTGGCGTGGGGCGACGACCACTACTCCCCTCTCAGGCATGGCGATGAATCTCATCTCTCCCTCCATCCGCCAGATCCCATGGTTAAGAGCCTCCCCACCCGCCAACTAGCGTTCGCCCTCCAGTGGCCCTCCAGGGCAGGGCCGGGCCTGCAGAGCCGGGCCTGTCCCCGCACCGGCAGCCTGCGGTTGCCCCAGTCAGGAAAGGAGGCTTTCCACTAACTGGAGGCCGTAGTTTGGAGCTGGGAAGGCCAACGTCCTTATAAATACAGGCCCAGCCATTGGTGTGTTGGGGAGATAAGGTGACCATGGTACCCTCACAAAGCCAGTGGCTCATTTCACTCCCTCCCTTCGTCATTTAAGAGGGTTTCTCAGGTCAGGAAGTTTTTGATACAAACAAAACTCCCCATTAGCGTCCTGACATTTGGCCTGAGTCAGGCCCCAGGGGAAAAGGCCAGAAAAGGGGGGATTTTTTGTGGGTAATAAATAAACTGGAATCCTAACTGCGATTAGACCCCGGAGCTTTGTAATGTGTAGGTTTAAAATGGTGACAGTTGGGCCCTTTTAGGGGCACAAAAGTCTGGTATTTTACACTCGCTGTGTTCTTATGAAGGTCCATATCTTGCGCATAACAGGCGCCCTCCTCCGGGTCCCCAGCCAAGCCCTCCTGGCGCCGGAGAGCAGCCCCAGCAAGTCGGTGGAAAACAAGACGCTTGACAGAAGCCCCAACGTGTTACACGGAGCCAGGGTCAGCGCCAGGTCGTTAGCAAGGGAAATAAACCCAAATCTGGGCATGTGTCCCCGGGGCGGGGGAGCCGATCCAAGGCTCCCTGGACTCAGTGGGAAGGCTCCATTGATTTCATCAGGCTTTGGATCAGGCCCTAATAGTACTCGTGCCACCAGAAAGGGACTCGCTCCGTTGCCATCACGGAGGTGCTCGCAGGGGCAAGGGAGACTTTGTAAATGTTCTCCGGGCTTCAGCAGTTCCGCTCTCTTGAGCGGGTCATTGGCCGGTCTCCTTGAGCCCGGAGGTCTCCGTGTTTCCCGGAGCCGCTCGGCCTTTCCCCACCCGCCTCAAACCTTCCCACAGGATGGGCCTTCTCCCCCCCCCCCCCCACCACCTTGTGCCTGGCGAGCGATTTGTACCGTTTGAATTCGCCCCACTGCCTGCCACTTTGATTCCTGCACTTTGAAATGCAAACCTGCCTTTCAATGCAAATGCTCCGGGAGGTTGGCCCAATAAAAGCCCTTCGTCAGGGAGGTGCCTTTGCGAGGTGGGGGAAAGCTGCCCAAGAAGTTCAGGTGAACCGCTTATCAGGAAGGAGTGGGAGCTGTTACAGGGAGCTCAGGCCAGGCCAGAGGCAGCCGCAGGGGCACAGTATGCGCGCAGAGCCAGCCGGGGATGATGTATGTGGGCTATCTTTTGGATAAGGACACTAACATGTACCCTGCCCCGGTCAGGCACCCCAGCCTGAACCTCAGCCCCCAGAACTACGTGCCTGCGCCCCCTCAATACTCGGATTTTGCCAGCTACCATCACGTGCCAGGGATTAACAGTGACCCGCACCATGGGCAGCCTGCGGGCGCCTGGGGGTCGCCATACACACCCACCAAGGAGGACTGGCATTCCTACGGGCCTGGAGCCGCTTCTTCCGTCGCTAACCCGGGGCAGCTCGGATTCAGCCCCCCTGATTTTAACCCAATTCAGCCGCCAGGCTCTGGACTCCTACCTCCAGCCATCAACAGCTCGGTGGCCCAGCTCTCCCCCAATGCGCAAAGGCGCACCCCCTATGAGTGGATGAGGCGCAGCGTCCCAACCAGCAGCAGCAGTGGTAAGGACCCCCCCACCACCCCCGGCCTCTCGGGGTTGTCTTTGCGTAGGTCGTAGCTGGGGCGCAATCCTGCACCCCAACAATGCCAGGAAGGGAGGGCAGCATTCGGCCTGGGGGAAGCTGAGTTTTCAAATGCCCGTTACCCTAGAGAGCTCTGGTCAATGACACCGTAACGTGCCAGGGTATTTCGGAGAGCGCAGGGCTTGTGAATTAATATTTACACGCAGTTTATATCGGCGGTTTCGTCCATCTGAACTTCGGGGGATAATTACAATCTCGGAGACTTTGCTGCGATGCCTCAGGTTCCTGGGGGTCCTTTCACAAGCGTGTCCCCGGAGCTGGCCCGTACGGGCCCTGAGTCGAAGTGCATTTCCCCCTGCCCAGTAGAGCTGCATAAAAGTGCTTTGTTCTTGCTTTGTGGTAATGATAGTCCCCACGGGGCAATATCGCCATCCCCGGCGCGGCAGCTGCGGGGAAACCTATTGCATCCGATGTATCCGATGAAGCGAGCTGTAGCTCACGAAAGCTCACGCTCAGATAAATTGGTTAGTCTCTAAGATGCCACAAGTCCTCCTTTCCTATTGCAAAGACCTCTCTCTTCAACCCCCGGCCCTGCCTGGAGTCCGCCTGGACTGGAATCCAAAGAGTTTCCAAATCCAAATTCGGGTCACGCCATTCTGTTAAACACCCAAGACCTGATCCAAAGCCCAATGGTCCTCGGAGAGGGGACGATTCAGGGCCCAATTTTCCAGGGCCTGGGTATTTTACCCGTTTCTCCTCAAACCGGCAAGGAGACGCTGGTGCTAGGCTGGCTTTTCCCAGCCTGGGACACTCTCCCCTGAGGGCCCCAATCCCCCCCAGTGCGGGGTGTGCCGCTGATGCAGGATCAGACCCAGACAGCCTATATCCCCTCCTGTCCTCTGTTATTGGGAGCCAGGCATTATGAACGGGCGAGCTTCGATCTCAGGCGGCCCAGTGGCTTCTAATTTTGCCATTTCTGGTGTAGTTAAGAAATGCCCAGAGCTTATCCCTCGGAGCAACAGGCTTCTAAGCGCAGACTGGGGGCCTCTCCCAAGCCCCACTGGATCAGGGCTGGGGCCGGAGAGCTGGGAGCACACGTCCCCAAGGGAAGTGGCAGGAGGGAAGAGAGTTTCTGATCGTTCAGACCCTTTCTGGAGGAGATCCCGGACAGACCCTGCACAAGTCACTGGAGTGACCTACACTGATTTTAGAGAGCGCCCCCGTCCCCCTGCCCCCCGCGCTGTGTGTGGGTGAGGTGGGGGCTGGAGAGGGGGGTTGTGTGAGTGTGTCTGTGAGAAAGGCGGGGTGTATAGGGGAGTTGGGGTGTGGGAGGTGCGGGGGGGGGGTTGTGTGTGAGAGAGCGGTGTGTGTAGGGGTTGTGTGGGCTCTTGTGTGAGAGAGGAGGTTTGTGTGAGGTGTGCAGGGTTGTGTGTGTGTGTGTGTCCAGCTCCCCCTTCCAGGCTTGCTCTCTCCGGCCCCTTGCCCCCCGGCGCAGTGTGGCCCCGGGCCCCGCCGCTCGTGGTTCGAGGCTGCACCTCGCTGCCTCTCCCGCAGGCTCCGGGCCGCAGCTGAACTCCTGACCCCTCCGGAGGCTGGGGGCCGGCGGGGGGGAGGAGGTGGAAGTCTCTCCCCAGGCCAACCCAAATGAACACGCTCCGCGGCCGCCCGGCTGCCCAGTTCAAAGGCAGCGCGGTTGTTTAAGGCAGGGGGGCTGGAGGTGGGGGCAGCCCAAATTTACAAGCGCTGCCCTTTGTCATGCAGATCCGGAGTGACTCCGGGTTGCAGGAAGGCGCGGGGCGCCCAGCAGCCCCATTGTCCTCGGCCTTTGTCGCCCCTGCTCTGCTCTTTGATGTTCCGAGCCGAGCCGAGAGGTCGGTGCGGGGCAGGACCTCGCCCCAGAGACATCTTCCCGCTCCCACTGCCGGGGCGGCCAAGGCCTGGCCAATGCCCCAGACCCGGCCCTAGGCTGCGAAGGGGACTGGCCCAACCAGCTCCTGCTGGCCGACCTCCCCAGCCTGCGGCACAGGGGCCTTCTCCCACTGCCGTCGCCAACCCGGCAGGGCTCTGGCAGGACTGGGAAATCCAGGCTGGAAAGGGGCCGGCTGTGAGTGGCTTGGACCCATGGCTGGCTGCCCCGCATCTCCAGCTCGGCTTGGGCTCTGCTCCCTTCCCCGCTCTGCCTTTGGGTCAAATCCTGCTGCCTAGATCCTCCCTAGATCCCAGAGCCCCACTGGAGTTAGGTGGGCGGCTTCAGGGGACATGGGGAGAGCCAGATTTGACCCGGAAGGCTACCAGCTACATATCGCTGCCCCTCAGATGGGGGTTATCATCATCAGGTGTGAGGACCCCAAAGCCCCAGCAATATCAAACTCAAAGTGGACTCCTATTAAAAATATATATGTATCAGAGGAGCAGATCCTACTGGCATTGGCTTCACATGCACCAGGGTTCTGCCCAGAGTGAGCTGCGGATCAGAAGTGGTAAATTTCCCCATGTAGACCAGCCCATCACTTAAATTGCCCTTACAAAGGGTCCAGTTCTGTCTTCCTTATGTCTTCTTTCCTATGGCTGGTGTAGAGCAGCATCTACAATTTCCCCTGAAGTTGATCAAGCCATATGGCTACATCAGGGGTAGCAGAATTTATTGCAGTAATGCCTCCTTCATATTTATAAATTGGGCAGTAGGTGGTGATATGTTGGATGGTCTCTCTTGGGGAGTCACACTCCCAGGCTGGGGAATCCCTGATTTTCCATGTCTGCATCTACCGTGATTGGTCTGGATTTGGTTCAGAGTTGAGCAAGATGACAGTGGAAGGTTAAATCCAGGAACCTTACTAGACTGAGTACTGCCTTACTTACTCTTCAAGTAGTAATACAGCCCAGAAGCATTGTGGGCTTTCAAATTCTCCTGGGGCTTGTAGCTCAGTAAGGTACTACTCAACCTTAGCAAAAGGGGCCGATCTGAATTTGTATCCACATCTGATCCATGAGCCGCAAAAATGGTCCACAGATATCTGCATCTGGATTTAAAGTGGATATCTGTGGAGTTGCAGGGCTGTACAGATCTGGGCCAGAACAGACAGCTTGCGGCTTGATCCTGCTATATTGAAATCGGTAGGAATCTTGCCATTGATTGCAGTGGGAGAAAGATCAAGCTGTGTATAAATTCTACGTATCTGAGTACAGATTTTTAGGATGCCCCCTCCCCACTAGTACTGGGTCTTGGTAATATTAAAAATCTTCATTTACACACTAATCATATAATCTGCACCAATTTGACCATATCTGGGAGCATACAGTACACAGAATAAATACCTTAGCAAGGGAAGTTTCTGATTCAAAAGTTGTTTTGGGAAATCGGTGCACACCCTTATTTTCAAAACTGCCCAGCACTCAGCTGCAATTATCCATCTCTGTGAGAGCTGCTGGGGATCACATTTGAAAATCAGGCCAATAATGTCCAGTCGGGCCATTGATCAGCACCCAGGAATTCCTGCTAACTTCCACGCAATTGTTCTGAGTTAAAATTCAGGTACCTAACGCTTCATGGTCAAGAGAGTTTTGGAGGTGTCCTTTTGAAAAGGGAATTTTTACAAATCAAATGAATCTGAGTGGGTTTACCAGCCCCTCAGCTTGGAAATATGTCCCTGCTAGAATGTGATCCATCAGCACTGAAGATCTTTTTCATCCATCTATCCAGATGCCATGGGGGTGGGGGTGGTATCAGAACTTAAATAAAATAGAAGCCAAAATGAGACATGCTCCGTGTCTCACTTTGGCTGTGATCTAAATATTGCACTTCCTATTTTATGCAGCTTTTCAAAGTTTTGACAACAACCCCCTCCAACATGTTTGAATGGCTTGGATAGGGTAATGATCTAGCGGGTAGAGAGAGAGCTCTGCACTGCCATGCAGGAGACCTGAGTCCAAGGGGAAAAGGGCTGTCATGAGGGATAGCCTCAGTCTCTGCTGGAATGAGAAGCGGACAGATATGGCCATGGGGGGTTCTCATCTGCCAAGAAGGTCCCGTTGCTGAGCTGTGTAGCCATCTCTTGCTGCTGTCGTCACACAAAAATTGTACGGCTTCAACTGTAGCAACATAATTACAGCAGTACCAGCCACCTAGTGTGGATGCAGTTATGCTGGTATAAAAGGGCTTATACTGGTACAGCTAGTCCCATACCGGAAGGGGAATAAACTCTACTGCTACAAGGCATCTTTATACTGGTATAACTGCATCCACACTTGGGATGCGCCAGTGTAATCGCACTCCAGTGTCATTATTTCAGTAAAAAGTCACACTATTAACTGAAATAGTTATACGGATACAAAACCTACATGTCGACCAGGTCAGATGCCCTCTCCCTCTTACAGCAGGATGGGTGCAGCTGTCATGAGTTGGATGAAGCAGTAGCTCAGGATATAGGAATGGGAACTCTTTCTCCCAAGTGACTGGCTTGGGAGAGGAGGGTCTCAACGTGGGGTAAGATGGCGGGTGCGGTGTTCTCATATGAGACCCTCTCTGCTCTATGTGGACACTAAAGATCGGTTGGCATTTCTCAGGGGCAATGGCATTTGCCCAGATATCTTTGGCTGAAAATACCCCATCCCCTCAGTACTGTTGTACTGTGCAAGAGTTGCTTGTGCATTTCTGCCCCAGAGGTGGTCGTATTTCAGTGGTGCTCTAAGTACATAGCTTGAGAAACACTTTGAGATTAAAGGCACTCTAACAACAATAATTGATTACCCGATAGGAATCCTAATTGAATTAGTTGTATGTATACTATTAATTGACTAGAGCAGAGCACATGTGAATTCTTTGTCGTATACTGTGCCCAGTTTTGCAGCTTGTTGCCTTCCCACTGGGCTCTGCATAGGCACATTCAGCAAATAGCAGAATTGAGGACTTGGAGAGGACATGTGATGAGTGAATCATGATATTACTATCTGGGTGGATGACTCCAGAGCCCCCGGTACCA